TTTTTAAATGTATTTTCCTTCTTAGGTGCAGAAGGAAATCGTGTCATTTTTCTTTCTCTCTTTATAGCTCTTAGTTTTAAAATGTATATGTACATAATGCCATTATATACATATGCATATTGCATTAAGTGCCCCCACCACATAGTATCAAAGTCTGTTTTCCCCTTGAAAACTAGTTGTGTTAGGAACTCCCAGCTTTGTTCCAGACCAGGCCTTGTAAACATGTCTGCGTATGGAGAATTTGCAGGTACAATGTGCATTTCTTAGGGGACATTGGTTTCCTGCCTCAGTCACTGGGTAGCCCTTCTGTGTTAAGATGTAAGCACTGAACTGACTCGAACTCGTTGCTCTAAAGAATGGCATGGAAATCAGAGATTGAGTTTGGTTGGAAATTAGCAGCTGAGAGACGAAGGTGCCAGGGTTTTTATTTAAATGTGGCACAACAAGATCTTGTCAGCAAGCACATCATTAGAATATTGAGTTTGGAACTGCTAATTTTTCCTTTAAAATGAGCACACAGTCGTGTGTTTCATGGACCATAATAAATTGCCATTGTGTTGTCACTGAGTTTGTTTTGATTTTTGTAACGCGGGTTTGGCAGTCACTCTGCTTTTTCTGTTTCCCATTTCTCCCCCATCTTACATTTCCTTATTAGATCCCAAACCAAAACCAGTCAAAAGGCTGTTTCCTCAATCCCCTTTCCCGCTAACCTCCTCTGCACCATTTTCTTGCTTACGGTAGCAAGATATTTGCAGATGGCTGTTGGTTACTATAAAGAATATAACAGTATTTCCTTTGTGGCAGATGGATTTAAGACTTTTAGTTCTCAATAAATGTAGGTTTACAATACATAACTTTACAGGATTTGTGTTGTATATAACAGGTTTGAACATATTATCTCAGAATTTATCTGCATGGCATTTTCAGCTTATTCGGGGTCCATGCCAGTTTTTTTTTTTCTTCCTGTCTTTTTTTTTTTTTTTAAGTAATAGGGAGTGCTGTGATTGATAGCAACAGCTCAAGGCGTGATTTTGAATAGAAACAAAGGGTTTGGAACAGAAGGTGTCAAATTAAACTCTGTCAGTTTGAAAAGTAGTAACATTCTGAAACTTGTACTAATTTATTTACATGTGGCTACTGTTTATATTTTGCCCTTGTTAGATGCAGTGTGATGTTGCTTGGCAAATTTACTACATTTAAAGTTTAGGTTGTTCCTTGTACCATTTTAGTTTTCTGAGAGCTTCTTGGTCCCATCATTTGATGAAGGCTTCTTAGGCCTCCATCTTTTGTACTGTTCAAAGCGTTGCGATCTCATTTAATTTTGAGAGTAGTTCCCTGATCCTCCTGCATAGCACATCAAGTCCCAGAGACCTCCCCTAAAAGGATAAAGTTCTCATTTTACAACAAAGCACTGCTTTTCATTCTTATCTCTCTGCCCCTGAGCATTGTGGGACTTCTGGGGGGTTCTCGGTTTTATTTGTCTGATGTCAGCAGCATCCATGCCTCTTCATCAGCTTCCTAAATGCATCCATTTCTAATGTTTAGGGAACTGGTCTAAGAAATGGCATTGGGGAATTGGAAGGCATTTATGTCCTCTTTAGTTCCTTTTTTCAAATCATAGATGACTGTCATGACTGATGGACTGAAAAGCAGTAGGATTTGAGGTAGCCACAGTACTCCAAGGTATTTAGTGTAAAGACAGGTTGCCCATCCTAATTGGGAGTTTATAAGTCTACTTCTATTGTGACAAAGGAAAAAAAAAGGTGTCAAAAATGCATATTCCTGTTATTTAAGAGATCACACTAGCACAGCCGCCTTGTCTCCTCTCTCGTTCTTTTGAACGCCCTTATAGCTTTTTAACAGTTCCCAGATGCACCATCACATATTTCTGTATGAAACCTCTGATGCTAGTTGCTTCAGCCTGGCCCTGACTCTAAAAGGCGGAAAGGAGCTCCAACTTCAGGTTCATTGAATTATTTTTAGATAAGAAATTAGAAGTATTATTTAAGGGCAGAGGTTAATAGCAAAGTACTGGAAGTGTTACGTTAGTCATGGGCAATTAATAAAAATAAGGATCTGTCTGGGAAGTACAGACACACAGAAGTGACAATATAGGCAAAATGTTTGTTGAATGAGTCAGAGTTCTCTTTCTGAAATATTTGTTAAACCCACATGAGTGTGATTATTTAGGAATTAGCTGTCATTATTAGCTGTATTAAAAGAACTAATGATTTTCTTTTCCAAAGAACATCTGTGATCCACATGTTTTCTACTTATATCCCAGTGCCAAGTGATCTCTGCCTTCCTTGCAGAAGTTCCGAAGGATGTGAGACCATCAGTGTTTTTAGCACTCTCCAAGAAGCTTTTCTGACACCAATCATTCTTAATTTAACTTTTGGCAATTTTCAGCTACTTGTATTTATATCTAAAAAAAATAAAAATGATAGCAGCTCAGTGTTCAGTACTCACAGGGACCAGCCAAGTTAGGAAACCCTTCCTCTGTTCTTGGGTCTTCTCACTTCTCTGGGGAGATAAATAAGACCACATTTTTCAGGCATCCAGGTTGTGTCAGAGGTCAAGGTGGTTAGGAAAAGTAGTTAATCACTTCACACTCAAGCCTCCAGGGAGATGACCACATATCTAATACCTATGCTGCAACATAATTTAGAGACATGGTGTAAGGAAATAGCTTGGATCTAGGAAAATGGATGATATTTTTATGACTTGCTCCAAATAGCAAGAGTGTACATGTAGAACAAAATAATATCTCCTGGGCAGGTGTGTCTCAACCACTGCAAATACTCATGGTCAGCTTCATAGTTTATGTTCTATTTGCTCAAGTAAAGCCCAGCAGTCTGGACGAACATACATGGGGATCTGTGGTCAGGTGAAAGGCAGGCTCCAGGGCTCCATCATCACAACTGAGATTTGGTTTGTTTCCTTTTCAGTGGCTGTTCTTTCAGATTAAATCTTCAGTGTACCACTCCTTCTCATCTCGAATTGTGTGTTCAGTGGCATTGAATGAGAGCATTATCACATGATCATTCATATATGTGGGTGAATGTATATACACACAGATATGTGAGCATCCATATATGTATGAACATTTGTGTGTGTGTGTGTGTGTGTGTGTGTGTGTGTGTGTGTGTGTGTATCTCCTATGACATTAAAAACAACTGTTAAAGGATCCAAACTTTCTTGGAGGCACTTGGCTGGTGTGTGTATAGCCCAGTTTTATACTGAACCCAAAAAGAAACCAGCAATAATAAAGCCTGTATAACTGACCCAGAATCATGAGTGTTCTGGCTGGCTAATAGGAAATTAATGTGTCAGCCCCCATCTTTTCTTTTGCAATATATGAGACCAATTCCAGGAGAAGAAGGCCTTGTTCTCTTTCATCATTATCACAAATAGAAGTTTCTTTTGAATGGCCCATTCAGTTTGAAAATAGAAAGCCATATAGTTGTGTGGGTTCATTTCCTAGTAACATAAAAAGCAGAACCCTATCTGAATAGATCTAAAATTCACATGATAGAGATACAGTGCCCTATCCAACCAGCTTCCTGGAAATTTCCAAGAAAGCCCTTCATTTCCCCAAAACAGAGCCCCAAATGGGTTTCCTCCCCAAAAGGAATGTGGGGAAAAAGGGAGGGGAAAGGACTTAGGATGGCCTGAGGAAGAACATCTCTGGGGAGTGCTGTCCGTGGTACAGGAAAGACACTGTCCCAGTCTGTATGCCAGTCACAGGTCACACTGGGAGGAATGGTGCCCTTGAGGGAGTGAGTGGAGCTGCCTTCTAGGGTGTCCAGGTGAGCTGTCTCCAGACAGTCCAATGAGCTTTCAGCAAGCTGTGCTATAGCTTGAAAGGGTGGCAGTCTTGGCTGGTGGGGTCCAGTTGGACACTGTCCCTCTCTCTTTCCTACCCCATTGCTTCTGATCTAGCCAATGAAACTTTAAGAGCACACAGAGTCAGATTGTGGCCTTGACTGAGTTTGTCCTTCACTCTTTACCCAGAAAACTTATTAAAGTTCTTGACTGACAAGTCATATACATGTGCTACAGCTGACAGAAAAGAGGGACTCTAGGTTCCCTTTAAGAAACTTCCCTGTTGAAAAGATCTCCTAATGCCCATGGTAATAAAGCCATATATATTCATGCCCAAGCATGTGGGCACTTGTGCTCACTGGTGCTCCCCCGTCCTGTGTGTGTATGTCTTTCTATTTGTCTCCCTTTCTCCCTTTCCCTCCCTCCTCCCTCTCTCTCTCTCTCTCTCTCTCTCTCTCTCTCTCCTTCCTATGTAAGCTTAGGAAAGCCTTTGGGGACAGGTGATTTCTAGAACTCTGACTTGCCACCTCAATGCCCTCAGTGGTCACTGGCAAACAAGAAGGTTGGGCAGGAATTATCCCTGCCCTCACCTCTGTTTCTAGCCCATCACTCTTACTTCAGAGTATGTGAGCATTTTCTTACTCTTGGAGTCTGAAAATGTCTGTCCTTACTTTCTTTGAGAGAGAGAAGAGAGAGAGAGAGAGAGAGAGAGAGAGAGAGAGAGAGAGAGTGTGTATGCGTGTGTCCACGTGAAAGTTTGATGTCTGATGTTTTTCTTTATGGTTCTTTCTCCACCTTATTTTTTGAGTCAGGGTTTCTTATTGAAACTGGAAGTCCCCATTTTCATTAAAGTGTCTGGTAAGCAAGCCCACAGTGTCTGTCTCTGTCCCCCCATCCCTGGGGTGACAGGTAACACGCTTTTATATGGGTGTTCTAAACACAGATTTTCATACGTGCAAGGTAGGCACTGATTCACTAAGCCATCTCCCCAACCCGTGGATCTGCCCATCAATCTGAACATTGGTCAGAAACAGAACCTGCTTCCCCCATAGCTACAGCTATCTTCTCACAATGGATTTAAAGAACAGAAAAATTAAAGCCTACTGGAATGTGATGAGTGGGTGAAAAAGTTAACTGTTGGAGCACTAACTGACGTGTCACCCTCTCCTCCTAAGGGATGGCTGTGTGAGCTGTTGCGCTGGAAGGAAGATCCTTCTCCAGAAAACAGGACCCTGTGGGAGAACCTGTCTATGATCCGCAGGTTCCTCAGTCTTCCTCAGCCTGAACGAGATGCCATCTATGAGCAGGAGAGCAATGCTGTGCATCACCATGGCGACAGGCCGCCCCACATCATCCATGTTCCAGCAGAACAGATTCAGGTTCGTTTACCTTGGCCAATTCCACGCAGCACTAAACAAACAAAGCCTTCAACTTAGAGGGAAATTAGTGGTTCTCTTCCCCCTGCATGTAGGCTTTCTACAGGAGACGGCAACACACTGCCATCTTGCTTAAGGGATCAAAGGAGGATAAATACAGTGTTTCCAGCTGGGGTGTTGTAGTCTCTTTACTCTAATGTGGCAGGAACCGAACCCCTTTTTGGACCGCTAGTTTAGTAAGGTATCTTGGTTAGCACTGGGTTTTGATTACAAAAGCCTAGAACATATCTTTTGGTGGGTTTTTAAAAAATTCAAATTGAAAACATTACTTTTCTAACTAAAACCATACTGCCCTGAAGGAAAGGAACCACCACTGTGCTGCCGAGGACAGTCACATAGTTTACTCCTTGGATTCTATCCAGAGTGAAGGGGAGGGGAACCTATCTTACTTTATGCTCCTCATCCTGCCTTCACCTCACAGTCTTCCCACCCACCCCAGGGCAGGACAGGGTGAGTCATGTCTGTTTGTCTTTCCTTAGAGCCCCTCTCCCAGCACCCTTGGCAAAGGAGAGTCTAGAGGCGCTTTCTTACCAGGCCTGCTGACCCCCGCACCATGGCCCAATGCTGCTCCTCAGGTGAGCGGGCTCCAGATTCCTGTGCCAGGAGAAAGGGAAAAGAGATATCCTTGAAGGCCAGCTCCCTCAGCCAGGGTTTTCAGATGTGTAAAGGACGGTGATGGAAGGGCCATGGCTCTGGCCAAAACGCACAGTGGCTGCACTTAGCCTGTGTGGGCACAGCCTATGTGTGAGCCAGCTGCCAGGGAGGAACTTGATTAGAGGTTATGAACCAGACCATATTGGGGCTCTCTTGGCTTCAGGAATTTAAACATATTTTAGTTGAATTTAAGCTGTGTAACTTATTTCTGCTAAATCTGAAGGTTGTTTTTAGCCTTCTCCTTTAAGGGAAATTCCATTGCCCTTAGGGTCCCAGAAACCTGCCTAACATCTTTGTTGAATCACCCACATTCCTTCCTGGTATTGCTGTCTGTGAAAAATACAGGTATCTGTAGCTAACATAATAGAGTTATCCATCCACCAGGAAAGAAATCCTTGAGTATTTATTAAAGATAAAACAAATTGAAAAAGAGAACCCCTTAGGATATTAAGCACTAAAATAAGTGTGAAAGCCTGAAAAACCAACTGTTTCAGCTAAAACAAAGACAAGAAAGATATATGTTGAGTAATAAAAATAGTACTTGTTTGAAAATGTAAATTGTTTTTAATAAAATTGCTTCTTAGGGGGATAAGAGGGAGTGCTTAAGCACAGGACAAATGTTCTAATACAGTGCCGCTTTGAGCAGCCAGGGCTGATTGGCTTGGCTGCTAAGAATTATGGATGTCGAGTGCACACTAGACACATGCCACACGTTTGTTACGTATAATTGTGTACAGGAATTACAGCACATATGCAGATACTAATTATGAAAAAGTGTCTGTATACATTAAATTTAAAGCCTAATCACATCGTAGTTTACTATAGACAAAACAATTCTCCAGCTGGTGTAGAATGGAGTGAGCCTTTATTTGGTGGGGGTAAGGAAAAGAACATAGTATTAGCTTAATGCAGTTTGGTAGGAAAGTGTGTGTGTGTGTGTGTGTGTGTGTGTGTGTGTGTGTGAGAGAGAGAATTGGAACTGTCTGACAGAACATTCTTGCACCTCCAAGAGGTGTGCAGAATGAGGGAAGCCGCTGCCATGCTGTCCTCAGGGTGTAGCCACAGAACACAGCGTGGCCAGGCACCCTGCTTTCCCTGTGGCTGGGTAGCTCAGCCTTCTGATGTTGCCTCTGGAATCTAAGGATTCTTTTAAGTTGTTGTTAATTAGTGACATCATGATGTGTTTTGCTGGCCTCCTTGGGTGAGAACCCTTCTGAGAGAGTGTGAGGCTCACATTTTTCCCCAGCTGTTTTTCTCCTTCACAGACCCTGATAAGTGAGCACAGGGACCCTGCGAGCTGCACTGCTTCCTAGCTGTCCAGCTCCGAGCTCAGATGTGTATTTGCTTATTTGATAAAGGCCATGGGCTGTTTAACTGGCCTGCTCTTTCTCAGACACTGCACAGGCTTGGCAAGTGCCTATGCTCACTCCAGCAGGCTCTGAGCAGCTCTGACTGTCTGCTTGTTTGTTTGTTTTTTGCAGCAGCAGCAGCAGCAACAGCAACAGCAGCAGCAGCAGCAGCCGCCACCTCCTCCTCCACAGCCGCAGCCTCAGCCCCAGGCAGGCCCCAGACTGCCCCCGCGGCAGCCCACAGTGGCCTCATCTGCAGAGTCCGACGAGGAGAACCGGCAGAAGACCAGGCCACGAACCAAAATTTCTGTGGAAGCCCTGGGGATCCTTCAGAGCTTCATCCAAGATGTGGGCCTGTACCCGGATGAAGAGGCCATCCAGACTCTGTCGGCACAGCTGGACCTCCCGAAGTACACCATCATCAAGTTCTTTCAGAACCAGCGATACTATCTCAAACACCATGGAAAACTGAAGGACAACTCCGGCCTGGAGGTGGATGTGGCAGAATACAAAGAGGAGGAGTTGCTGAAGGATTTGGAAGAGAGTGTCCAGGATAAAAATGCCAACACCCTCTTTTCAGTGAAACTGGAGGAAGAGCTGTCGGTGGAGGGGAGCACAGACATTAATGCCGACTTGAAAGACTGAGGCAGCTTTACTTTCAGCCGTCCACTGGTACATACTAACAAAATGAAAGTCCACCTTGTGTTTATTGTTTGGCCAATGAATCTTCAGAAACTTGCACAAACAGGAAGTTGGGAGGACTTGACAGACAGCACTAAAGGTTTTACTGTTTTCCGGACTGCGTGGCAGCCCCAGTGAAGCGTCAAGGGTTGTCTGTTGGTAGAATTTGTGTTCAAGGGCTGCACCACAGTGTGCAACCCGTCAGCATGATGCCAGAGATTGGTTTTCCTTTTAATTATTATTATTCTGGAGCCTCAAATAAGCATTATAACTTCTGTGATTATGATTGCCTTTCCTTTAATTATTTCTGTAACACTCCACACTGGTCTTTGGAAACTGGCCCCTTATTTTAAAGAGAAAAAGGAAAAAAAAAAGAGTTTGTTACTCGATTGTATGTTAAAAAAGAACTATAGACTGTGGAATGCAGTTTAAAGATGACATATGCCAACAAATGCCTTGTATTATATGGCACTGCCGTAATTAAAATTTGTTTTTTTATTTTGGAAATAAAAGTTCACTGTATTTTTTTTCATTCTCATTGTTACATGATTTTTTTAAGGAAAAGAAAATGTGAAACACAATTTAGTCCTTGTTATTTATTTGTAGATCCTGCAGCATCATGTTGTAATTAAGTTTTTGGAAGTTTCTGTTAAATGTAATGTTGCTTCTCTTGTTACCATACTGATTTCCTTTCTATTTATAACTGTATTTTGATGGGCAGTAAAACAAAGTGTCTTAAAAGTTTTAAATAGAGAAAATGTGCTTTACACAGTTGCCTATAAAAGTCTATGTTATCCAAGCAATTCACTCTAGGAGCTTCACTCTTGTTGTTGTATGCAATTTTTACTATCATGCAAATAAGCTTAGGTAAATAAAACTAATAGATCACCTTAGAAAATTATGCAATTAATGTGAAAATAATTGATGTTTGCAATGTGTCTTCCTTTGGTTTACAATCAATTTTAAAGCGACATCTGTATAAAATTTCTGTATAAAGGTGTCTTTCTTTTTTATGAGTTTATGACTATGAAAACACCAGCTATTTTGTTACAGCTGCTGTTTTTATAAGTGTATCACAATTTTCTTTATGCAGAAATGTGCTGATTAGGAGTGGTTATTGACTGTAACTACACAATTAAAATTGTTTGTATAGTATGCCATGGCAGGGTTTGTCTGCTTATGTGACCAAGCTCGAGGACAGTTGTGTCGTGTAGGTGCATGGACACTCTCTTGATGACAGCCTGTAAAAGCAACTAAACACTCACCTCAAATACTAAATTCAAGTCCCACACATGCTCAGTTTTAAGCAGGTATGAAATTTCACAATGCAGATGATAATCTGGAGTCAAAGACTCCAGTGGAGAAGTGATTTACTCGTAGCTGTTCAGTACTTGGAATGGTTATCTGCTTTTTGCCTCTCAGTCCTTCAATTATGGCAATACTTTTCTTTAAGCGAGGGTGTATTTGTCAAAGCCATTAATAGCATAAATAAGGGAACAAGTGGACCTTCTGTGTGAGAACCCTTCATACTGACTGTTTTAGGGGAGGGGGTTGTTTGGCTTGGTTTTGGTTTGTTTTACAAGTGATAAGCAGGGAAGGTACAATAACCCTGAGTTCACTTGGCTTCCTTTGTCAAAACTGAGAACTACATGAAGAAAGTAAAAGTAACACCCTAGAATTCAAACACCATCTTCTAAACTTGCACCATACCCCAGCAGCAGTCAAGGTGTGTGGTTCTAGGGAAACTTCATTTTTTTATCTTTTCATTTTGTTTCTCTGTTTGTGTTTTGTATCCCTTTGTTAGGTCCCCTAAGTGTTAATGGGGATGTGTGGGTACATGGAGCCAAGGCTCTGAGTTACCCTTTTCTGGAGGAGCATTTCCTCAGGCCTGGTGAGCTCATAGAGGGGACTATGTATGGCATGTGGCTCTAAAATGAGCTCCTTGGAGACCCCTCTGACGCTTTGTTTGGAAACGCAGCTGAGCAACTCGGAAGGCTGCTGTCTTGTTGCAAACTAATTTCAGTTCTTTTTATTAAATGAGAAAACAATGCAAACTCTCTTGTTTGCTGGAGTTCAGAAAAGTAACCATTTAAGCTAAAGGCATGTGAATTAAGATGATGTAAGCTAAATTTCAAATGTTAAAGGGAAAAATTAAAAAAAAAGCTAGCATGTCACAAACTGAAAATTATCACCCACAACCTCCCCCAAGTTTTTTTTTTAAAGAGTTGACAGAGAATCAAGTAGAAATTGATGCACTTTTTCATGTTAGACATCCCATCACTTACGACATCAAATAGGTATAAAATCTGATAGTAGTTTGGAAGGAGAGAATCAGGCTGCTAGTAAGATTTTTCCCATTTCTAACAGTCCAAACTCTTTTGAAAGATATTCCCTAGGAAATGAGTATGTTGGAAAGCAACACCATTGTGCCAGCAAAAATATCAGATGTTTTAACTTTAAGGTCAGCATGGTTTTGTTACATCAGGATAAAGCTCGTGTTAGCAAATGGTGATGGTCATGATGGAGTGGGCAGAGTTGTTGAAGATAGCATATTTTGAAAGCTTTCTCCTAGTGATCCATATCACTCCCTCAATGTCATTGTCACCCATGTCTCTCTTCTTCCTGTTGCCTATGGCTATTGGTAAAGTTTCTTTAACAAGCTTCATTGTGTCCCAGTATATCAGAGATGTTTAAACACTGGGCATGACATAGTGCTTCGTGCTGTTAAGACCTTAGCAGAGTCAGGTTGTTTACGGCTAATATTCAACCGTGTGCATCTGAGTCTGTCATGGATTCCTTCACTCAGCACTTTGCCACTAATTTGTATTACACTCTGTGGCCATATAATACTTGCACATTATGCAAAAAATGATGTTGATAGTATCTTCTTGCCACACAATATGCAGAGTTGACACATAACCTTTGAAAACCAAGGTAACTAATATGTGTGCCCTACTTGTGTGGCACTTGGTAACAAAGTCTGTACATATGTATAAAATGTGTATGACTGGCATTTAGTACTAAGAAATCTAAACTTAAGTGTCCACCCCTAGTAGTATCTATAGTTAACTATGCTTATCTAAACTACATAGCTTGAATAGGAAAAATTTAAATGGTTCAGGAGTGACTAAAATGAGTGTCCCACACATGCTATCAAATTCTTCCCTAGTCTCAATTGTTCACATTTGGCTAATGACAAGGTCTTTGATTGTCACAATATTTCAATAAATGAGATATTATGAACTGCCTGGTGATATTTCAACAAGTCAATTAAAATGTGTATGGCCTGTATTATAATAGCTATGGGGATGAGTCTATTGTGCTAATGCCAGCTAGAAATGTGGATGGCAGCATGGGAACCCAGCAACTCCAAACAGGAGCCATCCAAACTGTTCCTAGAAGGAATTCTCAGAAGGGGCCTATTCTTGGATTCAGCATCTGCTCTGAAGCAACACTTTAAATGTAAATAGTGGATACCTGCATGTCTTTAGACAAAAGTTGAGCTACAATCTATTAATACGCACAATTTTTGATAAAATAAAAATGCCCTCTAACGAAATGTGGTGGAAGGTGTGTGTCGAGAATACTATACCTGTTTAACAATACTATATGTTAAATAAAAATAGTTTGGAATTAATGTTTAAAATATGAGCCACATTTTTAAGCCTTTCTCATATTCCTCTATATAGATGTATATTTATACACACAAATACTTTCATACACACATTTAATTTTATGAAAAGAACGCTACTAAAATTCAGCTATGGCTATTTTCCTTTTGCCAAAGATGGGTACAAAGTCATCTTTTCCTATGGGATACTTGCAGCTATGAGCACACCTCACTGTAGCCAAAGCACTTGACTTGAAATTGTCTTTAATTGTGGCTGGTGAGAGATCCAGTGGAGTGTGCAAGGTAAGAGCAGAGAAACTGCAAAGTGATCTCTTTTGCACCAAGTTAAATGCTAAACAACACTGTGAGCTCAGTCAGAAATGCATTCAGATAAGTTTCATTCTAGTGACAGTCTTTACCCCATGCCTTAATATCTTCCTAGAAAAAAGTGATGTGCTGAAAGATCTGACGGTGCCTCCTAGACCAGAGTGTTCAAGTACACATTTAAAGGTGTGTGTGAATGCATTGCCTCTGTAGCACCACCATCGGAAGAAGCACCATCCTGTTCAGAGCACAGTCCTGCTAAACAGCATCTCCATGTGGGGACAAGTGTCACCCCACTGGTTTGCAGTTTTATATAAAGGCAGCCTTCCTGCTGAGGCCTCTCTGCTAGCGTTGTCTTCCAATGTATTTAAGCTGACAGCAACATTTGAAGAGTGCTTCATTTTATAAGACATCACCGTGTCTTATTTAAAGCTCTCCACCCCACTAGGAGGCACTTACAGCAGACACTAACATCCCCACTTCAAAGGCAAGTGAAAAGCGAAAGCTCAAATAGGTTAACTGACTTGCTCAGCTATAAAGTGGCCACATTAACCTCAAATCCAATTCTCCCATTTTCTCAATAAATTCCTCAAATACAGTGCAATTCAGTGCTTTCCCAGATACAAAGCATCATGGAATTTGTTAAAAGAAAAAGTTGAACACTGATTTAAATCGAGTATATGAGATGTTTCACCCTGAAATAATAACCCAAAATTCTGCTGTCTGCATATGATTGAGAGTTATATACAATTTTTTTGTTCATGAACTATTAGAAAAATTGTGAAAAACAAAAACACAAAGAAAGAAAACATGGAAAAGAAAAATGAATGAACCATAAAGACATCCTTCAACTCAATGATTTTAATGTTTTTCTATTAATACTTTATGAAATAAACTGAAATTAAGACAAAAACACTAACAAAAGGAAGCTAGCTTCCCATGGATTTGCCCCCATTATAATACCAAAACATCATGTTAAATTTTTGCCAAGTAATGGATCTTCTTATTTCTAGAGGAAATTTAGAATTTTTATTTTTTCCCCCAAATTTTCCTGAGAATTTTCAAAAAGCCATTTTTAAGAGGCAAACCTGGGAAAACCCCACAAATATGTGTCAGAGGAAAACCAGAGGCAAGCC